AATTAGGCATTTCACATCCTGAAAGATCTCATAGCTTTATGAAGAAACGAAGTTGAAAGCTAAAGATCACATTGTACCTTGGCTAATGCTTTACTGGTTTACATATGAATACATGGTCTGCCTTTGGAAGCTCATGGTGCACACTGTTTGATGGCCCCTAACTCATAGTTCCTTTGTACATAAAGAAGGTGTGGCAGCTGCTCTGGATCTGGGTCATGAGACTGTTCACACTGATGCCAACCCACTGTGTGGAATGCAACTTTTAAAATGCCAATATTTCAAATAGATAGCTATTACTTTAAGTGAACTAGAATGCTTAGTGAAGTGGCCCTATTTCCCTCCTCAGCTAATGATGAACAGGTTCCTGCCTGTTCAAAAATCTCCAAATGCAGTCCTTTCTTAAGAAAAGAGAATTGATCTGAGTAAGTCAATACATGTATGCCTTTGAGCAGTGAAAGAGAAGAGGCTATGTTTCTAATTGTGGGATTAAGTAGTGGTGTGCAGTAGAAGTAATGAAAGAGAATGATGAACTCGGTAGCAAAAGGTCATATCAGAGGACAATATTTTTCCAGGTTTCTGAATCCTGAGTACTAAAGAACAAATTATTTTTAAGGAATTTCAGGACATGCAAAGGACACACATAAAGAGAGAGATGTATGGAACTATCCTGTAGTGAAAAAAGAGCTTAACAAGGTGGTAATAATTTATTGTAGACAGCAGCAGCTATATTACAAGAAATCACTCCATTACAATTGTTAACCTCATTTGCAGAGTGCACTCCCCATCCCAGTTATCTAAGGAATAAAGTCCAAGCCCTCACTCTAATGTAGAAAACTTCTCTTTTTTAGAATCTTTACCCATTTGAGTGCTAGACAGCCTATGTGTATCAAATCATCATAATACTTTAATGGATGCAAAAATTGGTCTAAATATGACCATTTTTCCTTGAGGAAACCAGAAATGTTATGAAATTTGCCAAAAGCTTTACTGCTGACCTGGAGCAGAACACAGATTCCAATCTGAATAGACTTGTTTCTAAAGCCAGCCTGTTTCATGGTATTATTGAAACCATTGCTGCTTTTCAGACATTATCAATGAGAAAACTGGGCTTTGAAGAAGTAATAATTTCATCAAGGTTGCTCCCACATGTAAGCATTGTGCTGGCTGGAACACAAGCCCAGTTCTGCTCACTCCAGAACCCATACTGTGTTCGTTCACTAATCCCCACTGTCCAACTAACTTGACCATCTTGAACATTTAGTTTTATGGGTCCAATTTTCATTGAAGTCATGTATAAGTCCACTTACAAGTGGACTCCTCCATAAGAATCTCCACCTCCTCACCCATGTAAAGGACTGTCAAAATGAATTTTCCTTGTTTGAAAATCATTCAAAGATGATCTTCACATAAACCTTTCCAGCTCAAACCACAATTCCCTAGCCTAGAGCAGGCATCAGAAATATCTGTCGTCAAAGCCGACCTTCTTTCAGTGGTGTTAACACCGGACCTTTCAATAGGTAGTCAAGATGCAAGGCTAAATCTACACCACGGCCAATGGGCTGAGGAAGAATAGATAGAGAGGAAAAAATTATGGCAATATTAGCGGTTTTAAGATGAAAGATTGACTCACTAATACAACTTTATTTCTTTTCTTCCCCCAAAAAATATATTTGGTAAAGTGATAAATCAATCAATAAATAGATGAACAATCAGATAAATGAATATAAGGATATAAAAATCTGTGTATACTTAGAAGGAAGCATACATCTATATGAATTAGCAAATGTACAGTCCAATTTTGGAACCAGATTGGATGCATTGAGACTGGGACAAGTTAAGAGATAGATGCATAGATACATAAATGGGAAAAATAACATCCATTTATTTCTTGTTTTCAGTCTTTATCCTACTGTCTCCCAGGAGAAAGATAATCAGGGGACAATGGGAAGATTCAAAATAAAAGCCAACTCAGGCTGTAGGTTTCAAGCAACCATTTCTCCCATCCCTCATACTGTGTTTGAAGCTAAAGTTTGTGATGTCAGTTATATATATCATATGATCTTATGCACACACCCACACCCTCACACACACACACATACTGTGTGTGGTGGATTATTGTGTGAACTGGAGATAATGTACATTAAATGTGCTAGTATAAAGCAGTACCACACATTTAGTATTACAGATTGGACAGGGCTTTTCTTGTCTTCTTTGTATAAGCATCATGGACATTTCAAAACTGTCCATCTTTATTTCTCCCTTTACACTATTTCATTAGTGATGGATAACTTTTTTGGTTATTTTATCAGCATTTCCCTATGTTGGTATGAATAACATTTTTAAAGTTTTGGGTTAATTGTTTTTATAATATTATTATCTTTACCAATAACGAATGATGTCTTATTTTTATTTTTAAAGTTGAAAGCAAATAATATTAATTTTTTTGGACTTTATAGAGAATGTGATCTTAGGTTAGGTGCAGTGGCTCATATCTACAATCCCAGCACTTTGGTGGCAGGTTGTTTGGGGCCAAGAGTTCAAGATCAGCCTATCTCTATATATAGTGAGACCCTATCTCTACAAAAAATATTTCTAAACAAGTATCTGGTTGTGATGGTACACACCTGTGGTTCCAGCTACTTTAGAGGCTGAGGCAGGGGGATCACTTGAGCCCAGATGGCCAAGGCTGCAGTGAGCCATGATTGTGCCACTACCCTCCAGCCTGGGTAACATAGCAAGACCCCATCTCTAAAAAATAATATATAATCTTGCTTCAATGAAACACTGGGGACATGTGGGTTATCAGTGGGTTGCTTTTAGGAAATAGTCTTAAGATAAGTCAGAATGTTTGAGCATAATTTAATTTTATGCTGTGTATTAGTCCATTCTTGCATTACTATATGAGAATACCTAAAACTGGGTGATTTGGAAAGAAAAGGGGTTTAATTAATTGGCTTATGGTTCTGCAGGCTGTACAGGAAGTATGGTGGCAGCATCCATGCTCAGCTTCTGGGGAGGTCTCAGGGAGCTTACAATCATGATGGAAGATGAAGTGGGAGCAGGCAGTTCAGACGGCAAGAACAGGAGCAAGAGAGAGAGTGGATGGAAGGTGCCATGTACTTTAAACAACCAGATGTCTTGAGAACTCTCATTATCTCAAAGACAGCACCAAGCCATGAGGGATCTCCTCCCATGACCCAAACACCTCCCACTGGGTCCCATCTCCAACACTGGGGATTACAGTTCAACATGAGATTTGGCAGGGACAAATACCCAAACCATATAATGCTGCAAGATGTATTTTCTTTTATAGAGTTGGAAAATCCGTTACAGTTTATTAAAATCATACTCTTTTTCTCCTGCTTCTAATATGTTGAAACTGAGGTTTAGAAAGATGAAATGACATGTCCCAAGTTGTGTACAGAGATAGTGGGGGAGAAACCATTAACAAAGGTGCCCAAGTGGCCTGTTCTTTTCTCTTTTCAGCTCAGTCATGCCAACTGCTGTGCTCCTGCTGCATAGCTGTGCTAATAAACAGTGGTGACTTTCAGTGTATGTGCTCATCACTGCTGTCTCATGGATGTGCCTGGGGTCATTTCTCTACTTTCTGGACCTTAGTTTTTCCATTTGTAACACTAAGAGGATGGGGAGGGAAGAAACCACACGATTTTTAAGCTAAGTTCCTTTTCAACTCTGAGAATTTAAGATGAGTAATGATGCAATTATGCAGGCAAGATTCTCAGATGACAAAAGCTTTTCAAGTCTTCCCATTTCCTCTTTTGCTGTATTTGAGAGGATGTTCAGAATTAAATTGCACGTCCAATTGCAGTAAATGTTTTAGTCTAGGTAATTACTACAGAGTGTCTGATACATCCTTGCAACTTTGTATTTGTGGTTGCTTTTCCATATTACCAGGGCTACCAGGGTATTGCTCTCTTGTTTTTGTTGCAATTATTGTTTTCTTAACTGATTGTGAAACTAAGCTTTAGAAAAGAGAAGGGGGCTTGGCATGTCGGCTCATGCCTGTGGTCCTAGCTACTTGGGAGACTAAGGTAGGAGAATTGCTTGAGCCCAGGAGTTTGAAGCTGCAATGAGTTATGATCATACTACTGCACTCCAGCCAGAGCAACAGAGGACCCTGTCTCTTTAAAAAGTATATATACATACATGTATACACACACACATGTGCACACACACACACATCTATATATATTTTTAAGAAAGTGATTTATCCAAGATTCTTGTTGGCAGATACGGGTTTCAAATACAGATCTCTCAAGTTCTAATGCCCAAATACCTCCCTCTCTCACTGCCTTACCTTCTTTCCCCTATTAGGCAAAATATGTTCTTCCACCATGATTTAAAGGTCCTCATCTCTGTTCTTTCATTGTAAACCTTTCCAAATATTTTTGGCAAAGAGAAGTAATATGGGGAATAAATACTAAACTAAACAAAACAAAACCCTGCAATTAACTTGATTGCATGCACAGTGTGGATCACGTAATCTCAACCTTGCTCTCTGAGAAAATGGTTCTCTGAAAACATTATATGCGCTAGTGTTTCTCTTGTGAGGATGCGTGTCAGGAGCCGGAAGTGCAGGCTTTGGAGTCAGACATCCTTGGCTCAAGTCCTCGCTTAGTCATTTAACGGTGGGATATTGGGTAAGCTGCCTAATTCTTATTCACAGTTTCCTTATTTTTGACATAAAGTATTGCCTACCTTCCAATTTAAGCATTGCCTATCTTAACTGAAATCATGGGATTAAATGCCTAGCATAGAGCCCATGGGAAAGGGCTCCACAAATTGAGCTCTTAAGATGACTGTCCTTCATACTCACTTTGGTGGAGCTCCATGGAGAACACAGTGTCTCTTCCTACTCTGCATACGGTACCTGGGTGTTGACTAATGTTGCCTGCTGAGTGGTCCATCACACTGATTGTATGCCCCATTTTTGACATTCCTCCTCATGTCTCTTGCTTTGTGTTGTGTTGTCTGGGCAGAGGACAAGATCTGGACGTCAGTGCAGCACAACAATCCAGAGCTCACCCGAGTGCGGGGCGCCAACTCTGAGAATCCATATGCCATGGCCTTGGACTATGGGGGCAGCATGGAGCAGCTGGAGGCCGTGATCGACGGCTCCGAGCACTGTGAGCAGGAGGTGGCCTACCACTGCAGGAGGTCCCGCCTGCTCAACACGCCAGGTAAGGCCTCTGCATGCATGACCACAGTGGGACAGATGGGACGCCCCAAACCTGGAGTATTAGGCAAAGGAATATTGGCCAAGAAGGCAGCTATACTTACAGTTAGTCACTGTGCACTGGAGAGAAACACACCAGGAGAGGTCTGGTTATGTACTAATCCTGGCTCCGAAATTTAGGTGGGACCTAGAGTGAGTTCTGTCACCTCTCAAGGTTTTCTCCTCCTCATCATAAAACAGTTTGAACACCCACCCTGTAACAGTTGTGAGAATGAAGGACGCCTGAAGAGCAATTGCCCTCGAAGAGAGCATTCAAGATTGGCGCAGAAAGTGTGGCAGTGGGAAATGCTATTTTGGGGAGAGAGAAGGTTTGATAAGGCACCAGGATCTCAGCACACCCACCCAAGAATAACGAGTTATGTCTCGGGTGGAGGATGCCTGGGTGCCTAAGAGAGCAGCGTTAGGCAGGGAGGCCAGCCAGGCAGGCAGGGCAAGCCTGTGGGTTCATGACGTAAACGGAGGCTGAGAAGTGGGGGCCTTAGGGGAAATGACTCTTTTTATAAGTTAAGTGTGCTTCTAGAAAAACTTAAACTAACATTGCTTATTTATTTATTTTCCTATGGTTATGTTTTATAGTAGATTGTTGACTTAGTTATTAACATGCTTAGAAAAGGAAACAAAACAAAACAAAATCAGAAACAACTTGTAGAACTGCTTACCAAGACTTTAGAGTTTCCGTAAAACGTTAAGAAAGGCTCGCCAAAATGTACATGTTCCCTGGGAGTCAGTCATTTTTTTTGTGGATGTCAGTTCATCATTTGTTTTGTGGGAGAAAAAAGGCCAAAATATCTGAAGTATCTAAGAAAGGGATCTATAATCTCTAGCCTCAAGAAACTTACATTCCAGCACTTAGAATTTAGGAAGTTTGAAAGGCTGGGAAAACATGGAGAATACAATGTCAACAAAGGGGGAATTCATAGAAACCTAACTAAATTCAACGGAGTGCCTTCCTGACCTAGGATCTTCAAGGAAGACGTTGTTCCACGTAAGAGATTTTTCCAGATAACTGTCACTTATCCTTTTAAGTACCAAAAATCTTTCTAAAGAATGTTTAACTATTTGAAATGAAAATCTTTCTCAAATGGATTACACGCTTCCATGCCTTGTTAAACAGAGAATTCTGAACGTAAAATGTAACCTTTTCTTCATGACTCAGGATCAGCATTGTAAAAATCAATTACTCTGCTCTCCTTAGATTCAACAGGCTTTCAGGGCTGATTAGATCAGGGGTACTGGTTCATGTCCCTTTACCCAGCATCCTCAGAGGGTGCTGCCCTGCCAGAGTCAACATTTATATTGATGTGTATTTCTCCCTCCATTGCTGTCAACCCTGCGTGTGCTACCTCAGCACTGTTATGAGGGTGACTGTCTCCAGAAATGCCCTTCCCTCTTTTCATTGTGTTGTTTCTAGTTTTAGAAGGTTTGGTTCTGGCAGAATTGTAGAACAAACGTTCATTCTGACTGTGGACTTCCTTCAGCATAAGCATTCTGTAATACCAATTTGGCTACATCACTGCCTTTGCAAATGTGTTCTTTTCCTAACTCAACTGCCTCACTGTCCCTTATCTTATTTGAATGGGAGGGCAATGGTTTGGCAGCAAGTCATATTGGGAGTAAGGGCTTGATCCTGTCATTTACTAGTTAGGTGATCTTGTGCAAGTTACTCAATTTCTGCAGTTTCAATTTCACCATCTGAAATTTTTTTTTTTTTTTTTTTTTTTGAGATGGAGTCTCGTTCTGTCATCCAGGCTGGAGGGCAGTGGTGCATTCTTGGCTCACTGCAACCTCCAACTTTCTGGTTCAAGTGATTCTCCTGCCTCAGCCTCCTGAGTAGCTGGGATTACAGGCACTGGCCACCACACCTAGCTAATTTTTTTGTATTTTTAGTAGAAACGGGGTTTCACCGTGTTTGCCAGATGGTCTCCTGACCTCGTGATCTGCCCACCTCATCCTCCCAAAGTGCTGGAATTACAGGTGTGAGCCACACACCACCTGAAAAAATTTGCATGAAAATCCTGAACCCATTAAGTTGATCTGAGAATGGAAGAAAAAATTTAGTCTGAACTGCTTGTGCTATGCCTGGTTATAATAGGTAGTCAACAAACACTGTTGTCCTTATTCAAAGTTTCCATTGCAGCAGAGAAGGTCCAAAATGTGTTTCATAATGAGAAACAAGCACAAAGAGAAATTGTATTTCTGTTTTAACAATGTAAATAGAATAATTGTAATAATTATATAGTAACAGAATCAATTAGAAAGCTCCTACATGTAGACAATTTCACCCCCTGAAGATGGCTACGTTAATGTCAGGAGTGAACCCTTCCAGACGTTTTTCCACGTGTATATTCTCAGAGGCAGAAGGCAGACACACCAAATGTTTGTGCATGAGGGTCTTCATTTATCCTCTTTTCCACATGGGTTCTGAACCAAAAGGAGGGTGAAAAAGGAGGATAATGGATATGTAGGCTCAGTGTCTACCTTCTTCTGGTGAACTGGTTTGGAGAATGTAGCATGGACCATTTTGTCCCCTTGGCTTCCACCTCCAGACAAGACACTGCTTGTGGGGCAACAGAACACTCACTTATCTAGACAATTCCCTAGGGGTGTGACCTAAATTCACATTTTCACTGCCAGGACAGAATCCACCTGGGCCCCCATGCACGTGAACTCACCTTCTGGAAGTTCACATGGGAAAAACAATATGTAGCCACAAGGATTCAACAGTCAGCACCTAGGGCATACACCTACAGGGATGTTTCCTCATCCTTATTATTACTAAGCAGCTACCCTCCGTTTCCCACACAGAAGTCCAAGGACAGGAGGAAAAAGGGTAGAGGCCATCTCCTCTTTACCTATGATTCTGGAAGAATATTGTGCAAGTTTTTTCCTTATCAGCTGAATCTGTAGTCTATGCTGGGAAGAGATTCTCGACCCTGTGATACCGTTTTACAACCTGTGTTTGTCACACACAAGAAATGTACAAATAGCTGTCTATATCAATAAATATAACTTCATATTATCATTTTCATTAACTGTAGAGTGTTTTGTTATATAAATGAACTCCAATTAGCAAATCTCCTATTCGGACATGTAGATTGTTTCCATTTTTTCGCTATTACATACAATGCTACAGAACAGTTTTGCACGTAGATCTTTGTGAACATAATTGATTATATCCTCAGGACAAACTCCTTGAGGTGCCATTTGCCGGGCAGCAAGAATGCATATTTTTAACTCTTGCCACATCGAATTCTGCAATGCATCAAGGTCATTCGTTATGCCCCCAACATCACTGTGAGACTGAGTGCCCAGTTCCCAGCCATAGATACCCTTATCTTCCTTCACATTGGTAATGATAAGTGCAAAGGTGGGGGTCAAAAATGATTATAAATAGTTTTGTTGTGAATTTTTAAAAGTTTGAAGCCTGATTTCCATAGCCTATTGGCTATTACTAATTAGTAGCCAGGGTTAGTAGACATATGAAAAATTAAATTGTGGCTGCAGGTACATTTAAATCAATAAGAGAAAGTAGGGGTGCCTTGTGGCCATAGATTATCCTATATATTATGCACAATAGATAATAAGTGGAGACAATACAGGAAGGCAAAATAAAGGCATGTTTAAATGGGTAATAATGATGGAGATTTCTTATGTTTGAGGATATGTGTGGGATGAGCTACTGGAATTGTCTCTAACCCAGACAGCAGACCTGTTCCATAAGGCTCAAGCCTGTAATTCCAGCACTTTGGGAGGCCGAGGCGGGTGGATCACAAGGTCAAAAGATCGAGACCATCCTGGTCAACATGGTGAAACCCCGTCTCTACTAAATATACAAAAAATTAGCTGGGCATGGTGGTGCGTACCTGTAATCCCAGCTACTCAGGAGGCTGAAGCAGAAGAATTGCTTGAACCCAGGAGGCAGAGGTTGTGGTGAGCTGAGATCAAGCCATTGCACTCCAGCCTGGGTGACAAGAGCGAAACTCCGTCTCAAAAAAAAAGAGTCATTGTCCCCATCTGGTATCTCAGAAAACAAAACTTCAGAGAGAATAAGATGCATGTTTAATGCCACACAGCTAGAAAGGGGCAGGTCTAGCTCTTGCAACCAACATCTCCTGAAGTCAGAGCAAAAATTCTATTTCTGATACGTCACAAAAAGCTGCAAAGGGCCAAGAATTACAAGGAAATGAAGGAGTCAAAAAAAACATGATTTTGAATAAATTTCCTTATTGTGTAGGAAAATGGGAGGAGAGAGAAGCGCAGCCAGGTATGTCTCTGTGAAGGCCACAGTATTGTCAGGGTTGCCGGCACTGGGCACATTCTTGGGCAGCATCACAGGGTTTGTGTTGTTCTGGCCTAGACATAGCAGCTTCCATGGCTCACACACCTCTTCATGGGAAGACCTGTGACTTCCTACACAGCATCCCCAGAGCCTCCTTCTACCTGCTCCCATCTCGGGTGAGGGCCCTAGTTCCATTTGTTTAGTAGCAGCAGAGGGAGAAGGAGGAGACAGGCAGGATAGGTCATACATGGGTCATCACTGGGCCTTTTTCATTCAGTTGTGACTGATCATGACACTCATTTTATGACAGTCTCCCTGGATTTTTTTCCCCCAGAACTAGTGATGAGTTCCAGCCAATGGAATGTGTCCTCTATCTCTCTAACTGAGGGTTTATGCTAGAAACTCTCTCCGGTGTCTCACCAGGACATCTGTATCCTAGAGAAAGTGTCTTTGTGATTCTCGTGCATCTTATTTTTCCCTTCACTCTGCTTGCTGCTTTCTACTCTGAGCTTTTGGCAAGGCCAGAGGCCCCGTTCTATAGTGCAGTTTCCAGTACAGAGCCCAGGATGGGAGAATCTCCACAGCCTGCCAGTTCTCACAGCACCTTGTCATGGGGGAGGAGGTGGCCGCTTGTTCCCAAGGAGAAAGGTTTCCTTGGTTGAGCC